CCACGGCCAACCAGCCACCTTCTCTCTGCTTCCGACTTCAGATTCCCAAGGGGGAGAATCTGCTTGACACAGATGGGTCTCTTGAGCCGTCCCCCAAGCCCACACATCAGGAGCTGGCAGTAAAGAGGCCCACAGATCACACGGTATACCATGGGCTGTGTTTTAGTTTTGCTTTTATTGATTTATTTTTTAAGACTTTATTTACTGATTTGAGAGAGAGAGGGAATGAGAGCAAGCAAGCATGAGGGGGAGGAGGTCAGATGGAGAAGCAGACCCCTTGCTGAGCAGGGACTCCCCCCCCCCCATGCGGAACTTGATCCTGGGGCTCCAGGATCATGACCTGAGCAGAAGGCAGTTGCTCAGCCAACTGAGCGCCCTGTTTTAGTTTTTTTATAAAGACACTGGTCATGTTGAATTAGCGTCAACCTTAAGATGACCTCGTTTTAACTTGGTCACTTCTCTGAAGACCCCTGTCCCCAGATAAAGTCATATCCTATAGTATCAGGAGTTAGCCTTCAACTGGGTGCCTGGGTGGCTTAGTTGTTAAGTGTCTGCCTTCAGCTCAGGTCATGATCCCAGCACCCTGGGATCGAGCCCCACATCAGGCTCCCTGCTTGGCCCGAGGAAGTCTGCTTCTTCTCCCACTCCCCCTGCTTGTGTTCCCTCTCTCTCTGTGTCTCTCTCTGTCAAATAAATAAATGAAATCTTTTTTAAAAGATTTAAGAAATCTTTAAAAAAAGATTTCATTTATTTATTTACTTGATAGAGAGAGAGATCACAAGTAGGCAAGAGGCAGGCAGAGAGAGAGGGAGAAGCAGGCTCCCCGCTGAGCAGAGAGCCCGATGCGGGGCTCGATCCCAGGACCCTGGGATCATGACCTGAGCGGAAGGCAGAGGCCTTAACCCACTGAGCCACCCAGGCACCTCAATAATAAAGTCTTTTTAAAAAAAAGGAGTTAGCATTCAATATACCTACTGCAGAAAGACACAATCCAACACACAATGCACACAAGGTCTGTGGGTTGGGGGAGCAACAATGTAGTTCCTTGATACAGTCTATGCTTTGGTTGCTGTCATACATATGCTTTATCTCAGATCCTCATCCCCGTGAAAAAAAAAAATCGGACATTCCTCAGGGTAAGGACAACCGCACATACTCACCCACTCTTCAGAGGGACAGTCCCCAAAGTCAGCTTAGTCCACCATTTCTGCACCTGGTGGTGTGGGGCTATCCTGGCTGGTCCCAGAACTCACCAACCTCGGAGTGAAATTCATTCCTCTTGTAAGTTCCCATCTCATCCATCCTCCACATGTGACTCCTCCAAAATCTGGGACCTAAATGCTAGACTGGACCATGACCATGACCAGTGTGAAAATGGTGCCTGGCCCAGAGCCCCCACAAAACAGCGCTGTTTGCTTTGTACGTGAGGATCTCAAAAGGTATTGGTTTTGTCCTCAGGCTAGGTGGTTTGAATCCTCAGAAAGGTGGAGTTACTTGTCCAGAATCCCACAGCTAATGAGGGTGGGAGCCTGTAGTCAGTAGCCTGTGACCAGAGCGTGTGCCGGTAGCTGCAGAGTTATGGGTCCTTGTGGTCCCTGAGCAAAGCACGTTCCGTGTTGGGCTTAGGGAGCGGAAGCTTCACTTCCGGTGGCCATGAGGAAGGGGCCTGATCTGGAACTTTGACCAAGAAGACAGAATCCTGAGCATCAGCTCGGTTGTGAAGTGAACTTTATTCAGCAAATCCAGCCTCCCTGGCTCTTTACATTCAAGACGAATGGGGCAGGAGGAGGTTGTACCACCCAGGAGTTCACTTGGGGTTAAACTCAACATCCGATGATGACCCAAGGGGCCCAGACCCCACCTGAGTTGGTTTAACTCAAACCCAGGCATCTAGTGGACAAACCGGAGTTTCTTCTGGAAAGGTAATGCAGAGCGCCTAGGTGGCTCGGTGAAGTGTCTGCCTTGGGCTCAGGTCATGATCTTGGGGTCCTGGGATGGAGCCCCATGTCAGGTTCCCTGCTCAGCGGGAAACCTGCTTCTCCCTCTCCTCCCTGCTCATGCTCTCTATGGCTATCTCTCTCTCTCTCTCTCAAATAAATAAAATCTTAGAGAAAGAAAGATAATGCATGTGATCTTAATGTGTGATGATGGTAGCAATGAGTTAGAAACAGGGATATTGCTATATGAGGTCCCGTGCCAACTTTCATTGGCTATAATCATTAAGGACCACACCTGCACAGGTTCTGGAGGCTTCCCAGGTTGAACCAGGTCACGCCCTGCTTGATTTAGCCCTACTATTCTCTTAATGGCCACTTGAGTCAATACTTCGACCAGGAACCCAAGCCCTGGACCACGTTAACCAGAAACATTTCATCTTGAATCTACCTTTGTGCATGGCCTCCAGGATATGCTTTGATTAAACCCTGCTCATGAGGAAGAGTTTTAAAAAGAATGATTGGGAAGCTCTCGTGCACAGAGAAGGAAGAGGGAAGCCTTTGGAAGAGCTAGGAAAGCAGAAGGGTCTCATTTTTCTGACTTCCCACATCTCCCCATTCCCATTTTTCCAGTTCCACAGTTGATCAGTGGCCAAACCTGGACTTTTGACTGTGGCAACATGGTACAAGTGTTGTTCCAGCCTGGACTGTGGAATGACAAAGCCCACTGGTCATTCCTGGATGCAGTCTTTAATGAAGTGTTAACTGTAGTCATCCTAAGTCATCTTGCTTGTTCCACTTGTCCTGACTGGCTTCTGGCCACGTAATGGGGAGTCAGCACCAACTCATTCCCTGCTTTCTTCCACTTTCAACTGTTTGGATTATGCTCAACAACTATATCTTCAAACCCCTATCCTTTGGGGGCCTTTGCTTCAGGGAGTCCCAGAAAGGAGCTTCATTAACAGCTTTGCTCTACAGATCGCTGGTCCAACTCGTATGGCCTGGATGGAGAATTCTCAATGCCCCCTACCTCCTTTGATACTACAGTAAATCCCATGTGTTCTCAGAAGGTCCATTCAGTGCAACCACCACACTCCTGGAACTGATTTCCGTTACAACCAGAGTTGAAAAGAACAGGCTGTATAAGTATATACAGGCGATTTTCTCTGGGTTTTCTTGGCCAGTTCTCTTTATGTCTCTGCACATCCCTTCAGGTGTCTCCCCATTACTGGCTGCCTCTGCTTCAGCTGCGTCTGACTTGTCCCAGCCACTCTAGCCCCGCCTCTCTCAGCATCACCTGCTGTGGCCTCCTACAACGATATTTGGTCTTTGTCCCTAGTTCTGGCACATGGCTCCTGAAACCCTTGGCATTTCCTGAGTGATAGGCTGATAGGAGTGTCTTCTGCTTTGATGAGGTGACTCTTCTCAGGGCCCTAGGTAGCTTCAGGGTCTGGTCACCAGAAAGACCAAGCTTGAAGAGATTCGAACTTCTGTCTCCAGCCCCCAACCTCTGGGGAGGGGAGAAGGACTGAAGATTAAGTTAATCACCAGTGACTGATGATTTAATCAAGCATGTCTACATAATGAAACCTCTATAAAAGCCCTAAATGGGTTCTGGAGAGCCTTTGAGTTGGCAAACACAGCCATGAGCCAGGAAGGTGGTCCAGGGAGATAGACTCTCCCTCTGGATCTTACCTACGTACTACTTCTGGTTATTCATCTGTCTCCTTTTTTTTTTTTTTAAAGATTTTATCTATTTATTTGTCAGAGTGAGCACAGGCAGACAGAGTGGCAGGCAGAGGCAGAGGGAGAAGCAGGCTCCCGCTGAGCAAGGAGCCCGATGTGGGACTCGATCCCAGGATGCTGGGATCATGACCTGAGCGGAAGGCAGCGGCTTAACCAACTGAGCCACCCAGGCGTCCCTCATCTGTCTCCTTTATCATAAACTGGTAAACATAAGTAAAATGCCTTTCTGAGTTCTGCCAGCCATTCTAGGAGACTATCAAACCTAAGGAGGGGGTCAGTTTATAACCTACCGGTCAAAAGAAGCATGAATGACTCAGGACTTACAGTTGGTGTATGAAGTGGGACTGAACTCTTCAACCTCTCGGATCTGATACTAAGTCAGGTAGACAATGTCAAAATCAAATTGAATTGTTGAATTCAACTGAGTGTCGGACACCCTGGGGAGAAGAAAACCAACTCTCACCCGCCAGTTGCCTTCTGACCTTTCAGTAAAAATATTCGAGAGAGAATTGACCAACTCATCTTTTAGAGCCGGCCTACAATCTGTCGTGACCAGTAAATGGCAAAGCCACCGTGGAACCCAGTGTTCATCTTGTGCTCAGGTTGGCTGTGGCTGGGAGGGTAGGCAAGCCACGTGGTTGAATTCAGGATGGGTTGGGCCATTTCCCTTCAAAGGAAATATAGGTATGCAGGGCATGCAAAGATGGACCTCTCTAGGAACTGGATCCTCAGTAAATAGTAGGCTTTTACACGTGTACTCCCTATCTGTAGACACCCATGTATGTATATTCAGGCTATAAATACCCACATTCAAACATACAAGGTATATATACATAACGTGTGTGCATGTATGTGTATATATGTCCACACTATATTATATAGAGTACACACCCATGTATGTACACGAGATAGACACTTTCCTACGAAACAATGTACACATATCCGTTAAATGTATGCAAATGCACACCCACCCACATATGTATACACCTGTATGCACGCGCACACACACTCTTGCAATGCACGCGCCGTATGCGAATACACACGGTGTAGTCAGATCCTGTAAACAGGAGCATATGAACTGCATGTAAACACACTCCCATCACACCCTCTGGAGACCCACCTCCATGCACGCACCTGAGTGTTCACACCCCTGGAGACACACACACAGCAAAGCCATCTGCACACACACGCACACAGTGTCTGCACACACAGCTGCCCTTGCACATTCGTGAACCCCACTAGGGCCTCCAAAGATCGCCTCCCCACTTCCCCTACCCTCTCCCCCAGCTAACATTCCTTGCTCTCCCTTCCCTGACAGCCATGCTCAGCAGTCAGGCGCCTTTCTTCTTCCCCATGGCCCACTTCGTCCTCTTTGTCTTCACGGCTTCCACCATATTTCACATTCACCAACGGCTAGCGAAGATTCGCCCCACATGGGACATTGAGACGCTGGTTTTGGCGACGGAAAGTCCCACAAGCCAGCTGCCCCGGGGCATGTGGACCATCAATGCCATCGGCCGCCTGGGGAACCAGATGGGCGAGTATGCCACCCTGTACGCCCTGGCCAAGATGAACGGGCGGCCAGCCTTCATCCCGGCCGAGATGCACAGCACGCTGGCCCCCATCTTCCGGATCAGCCTCCCGGTCCTGCACGGCAGCACGGCCGGCCGCATCCCCTGGCAGAACTACCACCTGAACGACTGGATGGAGGAGCGCTACCGCCACATCCCCGGGGAGTACGTGCGCCTCACCGGCTACCCCTGCTCCTGGACCTTCTACCACCACCTGCGAGATGAGATCCTGCGGGAGTTCACCTTGCACGACCACGTGCGGGAGGACGCCCAGAAGTTTCTAAGGGGCCTGCAGGTGAATGGGAGACAGCCAAGCACCTTCGTGGGCGTCCACGTGCGGCGGGGGGACTACGTGCAAGTCATGCCGCAGGTGTGGAAGGGCGTGGTCGCCGACCGGCGGTACCTGGAGCAGGCCCTGGCCTGGTTCAGGGCCCGCTATGACTCCCCCATCTTTGTGGTCTCCAGCAATGGCATGACCTGGTGTCGGGAGAACATCAACGCCTCCCGGGGGGATGTGGTGTTCGCGGGCAATGGGATCGAGAACTCCCCTGCCAAGGACTTTGCGTTGCTCACGCAGTGTAACCACACCATCATGACCATTGGGACATTTGGAATCTGGGCCGCCTACCTCGCAGGGGGCGAGACCATCTACCTAGCCAATTACACCCTGCCGGACTCCCCCTTCCTCAAACTCTTTAAGCCAGAGGCAGCCTTCCTGCCCGAGTGGATTGGGATCGATGCAGACCTCTCGCCATTACTCAAGCACTGATATTAGGTGGCCCTTGGCCCCTCCTCCTTTGCTGGCTCCAAGAGCAGATCCCCAAGGCACAGGGAGCATATTGTTATGTGTACCAGGACACTTCCTTCCTGCATCAGAAGTCACTGACTTGCTGAAATAACCTATTTATGTGTCCTCTACAACAGGACCCAAAGTTGGGGCATCTCTGGGATTAGTTAAGTCAGCAGCGCAGCAGTTTCATCGGCGACCCCTGTTCCATCTATCATGTTCAACTGCTGTCAACTCCTCTCAGACTGGCTCCCTCATGGTCCCAAAAGGGCTGCCACATAGCCAGGTATCACATACAGACAGCCTCGTCATGAGGCAGCAAAAAGAGCTTCATTCTTGGGTCCCTTTTGAAGAATGAGAGAAAGATTCCAAAGCCCTCCAGCAATTTCCACCGTGCCCTCCCAGCCCCCGCATATCTCATGGACCGGAAGTGTGTTAAGGCCCACCTGACCCATTAGAGGGCAAAGTGAAGAAGACCCTGGGATTGGTTTAGCTTCAGATCAATAAATCTTTGCTCCCTCCAGCTGGGGAGTTGATCCGCCTCCTCTGGAAGACATGGAGTCTTGCAGAAAGAGAACAGGTGCTCCTAACGAGGAAGAAGGGGCAACACAAAACAGAGAATCCCTGAATTGTGTGCGTTGTTTGCTACACAAAGGCATTTGGCCAAGGGGGTTGATGCAGCTCTAGGAGACTCAACAGCCTACTCTCCAAGCCACGTGTCCCTGGGACCGTGTCCACCCAGAGGGCTCACTGTTTTCTAGTTCGTCTGCCCAGACCTGGGACCTTTTCCCCAGTTTTCCCAAGAGTGCCGCCCTACTGGCCAGTAGCTGGTGCACTTCTAAGACCTCCTGCCCCAATTCTGCAACCCTGGCTTCCTAGGGCTTAGGATGATTCCTGGTGAGAACTCAGAGCCCAGCAGGGCTCAGTGAACTTGAAGAGAGTCTGTTCTTTTTAATTGTCTGTGGTGGTGCATCTAACAGCATCCCTGCTAGCAAAGGTTGGATTAACAAAACATAGTGGCTTGAAGTGACAGCAATTTAGGATTTCCCACAATCTGGTGGGTCAGCTGGGGGCTCTCTCCTCCGTGCGGTGTTGGCGGAGGCCTCATGCCGCTGCGTTTTTGTGGAGTACAGTTCCCCTCAGTCGTCAACATCATGAAAGCAGCCCCCATGCTATGAGGACGCCCAGCCCCACTCCGGGGCCACGGGTGGGTGCTCCAATCAGCAGTCTTAGCTGAGGTCAACTTCCGAGTTCAGGGTGGGCATCAGATGTGCTGCCACGAGTCGTTCAAGTCAGCCTAGCAACCAGCTGAGGCTCCTGACAATGTGTCGCAGAGAGCAGCCCTATCTCAATTCCTGATTCACAGAGTCTGTGAGCATAACAATACAATTGTTCAATGCTGTGAAGTTTTGGAGTCATTTGTGATATAGCCAGAGAGAAACTAAATCGATGATTCTCTTTATCTGCAGACACTTTTGTGACTTGGGCATGATCTGGGCAAAACTTGAATGTCCCTACCTGACTTGAGATCCCACGTGCAAAGGCCCTGTGGCAGGGGGAATCTAGTTATACATGAGAGCGGAACCAGGCCAGTGTGTCTGGAACACATGGAGACAAGAGGTAGGAGAGAAGTTATCAGGGTCGACCATGAAAGGCCCTGTGGACCATGGCAAGGACTTTGGGTTTTATTCTAAGACCAAGGGGAAGCCATCAGAGGATGCTTATCAGGGGAGTAACACAATCTGATTTGCTGTGTGGAGGAAGGGCTGTAGGGGTGAGAGAGGCGTGAAGACCAGGGAGAAGGCTACTGTAACAGTCCTAGCAAAAAGTGGTGGTGGGCCAAGGAGGTCTCATTTCAAGGGCGGCTGGGTGGCTCAGCCGGTTAAGTGTCTGCCTTCTGCTCCAGTCATGATCTCAGGGTCCTGGGATCAAGCCCCACATCGGGTTCTCTGCTTGGCAGGGACTCTGCTTCTCCTTCTCCCTCAGTGCTCGCACTCTCTCTCAAATAAATAATCAATTAATTAAGAAAAAAACTAAAAAAAATGTAAGAAAGAACATAAGGATTGGGAAGATGCTCCGAAATTGAGCATATGGGAGAAAAAAAAGTTTGCCACTCATGTTTCAGTGGCTGAAGCCAGTCAAGCGGTCACACCCAATGTCAAGAACGACCCATCCTCGTACCGCAGAGTATTTGCGCTCTGACAGCCACCTCACATCTTGCAGGCCCCACAGTCTCTCCACATGGTTCTCTTGGAGCCCTTTCCTGTTGGCTTAGTACCCACAGAATGGTGCCACAGTACCCATTGTGCTGATAGGTCTCTGCCTCAGTAACTCTATTTAACTCATTCAAATTTCTGGTCCGAATTTAGATTTTCTATTTGTTTTTTTTTATTTTATTTTTTTAAGTAGGCTCCATGCCCAACATGAACTCATGAACTCATGACCCCGAGAACAAGGGTCAATGTTGTACCCACTGAGCCAGTCAGGTGCCCCCCATGTGATTTTATACAGCTGGAATGGGGTGATGGTTGCTGGACCAGGGTTTGCTATTTCAAAAATAAATAAATCCTTAATTATTTTGTCTATGCATTTGGCATTCTCTCTTTTAATGTACATTTTAAATGTATTGGGGGACACATATTCATGGTCCTGAGTTAAAACAACATCATGATTGGCAGTCATTTCCAAAGATGGTCACGACACCATCTCCCCGTAACTCTAACCACCCAGAGCTTCCCCCGCCCATCCCCATCTCAGTAAGTGGCACTATCCATTCACTTCCACTAAAAACTTAACTCACTCTAGATTCTTGCTCTTACATTCCATCCACTGGCAAGTTCTGCTGGCTTTCCCTTCAAAATATATCCTGATTTGGACCTTTCCTTCCTCTACCATCACCACTCTATCAAGTCACCACCACCTTTGCCTGGACACCTACAAAAGTCTCTTTCAAAGCATACTAAGGGGTGCCTGGCTGGCTCAGTTGGTAGAGCGTGCAACTCTTGATCTTAGGGTCATGAGTTCAAGCCTACTTAAAAAAAAAAGTGTGTGTGTGTGTGTGTGTGTGTGTGTGTGTGTGTGTGTAATTCTGTATCACAATGCCAAGAAAGCTACGATGTGAAGACTATATTGAAGATATGCCTTGAAGAATGGGTTTGATTTTCACTACCAGCAAGCAATGATGGTGGACCAGTGAGGTCATGGTGGAAGTGAGGCGAAGAGACCCATGAGATGACCAGATTTCCAAATTCACCATAAAGCTAAAGTTACCTTGACAAAGTTGTACTGGCATAAAAGATAGACAGAGCGGGGCTCCTGGGTTAAAGCCTCTGCCTTCGGCTCAGGTCATGATCCCAGGGTCCTGGGATCGAGTCCTGCATCGGGCTCTCTGCTAGGCAGGGAGCCTGCTTCCTGCTCCCTCTCTCTCTCTCTCCCTCTCTGCCTACTTGTGATCTCTCTCTGTCAAATAAATAAAAAATCCTTTAATAAATAAATAAATAAATAAATAAAATCTTTTTTTTTTTAAAGATAAAGCCTCTGCCTTCGGCCCAGGTCATGATCTCAGGGTCCTGGGATCGAGCCCCGCATCAGGTTTTCTGCTTAGCAGGGAGCCTGCTTCCCCCTCTCTCCCTGCCTGCCTCTCTGCCTACTTGTGATCTCTGTCTCTCTGTCAAATAAATAAATAAAATCTTTAAAAAAAAAAAAGATAGATGGAGTCCAGCAGAGTCCAGAAATAGACCACACACATCCATGGTCCTTGATTTATGATAAAGGCATCAGTGCAGTTTAGGCGAAGGATGAAAGACCTCATCAATAAATGGAAGCGATCCAACATCCACACAGAAAAGGTGAACTTGACCCCTTCCTCCCACGATTCACAAACACTAATTCAGGATGGATCACAGACTAAAATGTGAAAGGTAAAAGCATAAAGCTTTTATTTTATTTTGCCTATTTGACAGAAAGAGATCACAAGCAGGCAGAGAGGCAGGCGGGGGATGGGGGGGAAGCAGGCTCCCTGCTGAGCAGAGCCTGATATGGGGCTCCATCCCAGGACCCTGAGATCATGACCTGAGCCGAAGGCAGAGGCTTAACCCACTGAGCCACCCAGGCACCCCAGCATAAAGCTTTTAGAATAAAACATGGGAGGAAAATCTTCATGACCCTGAGGTGGGCAAAGGTTTCTTTCTTTTTAATGATTCCCCCCTCAGGGGGATTTCCTTTTTTTTTTTTTTTAAGATTTTTGTTTACTTATTTGACAGAGAGAGGGAACACAAGCAGAGGGAGTGGGAGAGGGAGAAGCAGGCTTCCCGCTGAGCAGGGAGCCCGACACAGGGCTCGATCCCAGGACCCCAGGACCCTAGGACCATGACCTGAGCCAAAGGCAGACGCTTAATGACTGAGCCACCCAGGCACCCCTTCATTTTATTTTATTTTTTTAAGTGACCTCTAGTAGCTCAGTGAGTTAACTGTCTGCCTTTGGCCTAGGTCATGATCCCAGGATCCCCACACTGGACTACCTGCTCAATGGGGAGCCTACTTCTCCCTCTCCCTCTGCCTACCACTCCCCTTGATTGTTCTCTGTCAAATAAATAAATATTTTTTAAAATAATAAAGTAGCCTCTATACCCAGTGTAGGGCTCGAACTCATGACCACCAGATCAAGAGTCGCACGCTGTACTAGCTGAGCCAGCCAGGCGCCCAGTTTCTTAACCAATACACAACTTCCCAAAAACCAGTAACTGTGGTACAACTTAAGATCATGATCATGAGGGGCGCCTGGGTGGCTCAGTGGGTTAAGCCTCTGCCTTCAGCTCAGGTCATGATCTCAGGTCCTGGGATCGAGCCCCACATCGGGCTCTCTGCTCAGCAGGGAGCCTGCTTCCCCCTCTCTCTCTGCCTGCCTCTCTGCCTACTTGTGATCTTTCTCTCTGTCAAATAAATAAATAAAATCTTTAAAAAAAAAAAAAAAAAAGATCATG